GCGCATTTGACAAAATAAATCGCGTAATAATCTACTTCAAGAGATAACTGTCGACACGGTGATAAAAAATGAAGACAACGAGGCATCCAGAGACTCGCCGTGAAAATCGGAGGCCGCCTTGAAACTCGTTAAATACGAGCTTGCGTTGTCTACAAATTTATTTTGGATTTGGCGCTACGACAAACAAAGGGAGAAAAATAAAACGAGACAAGTCCGGGCAGATCAAGAGTCGAGAGTAAGGCTCACCCAAGATCGAAGGCACGTTATGGCACGTATACCCTTTCGACGGTCGTACGGTGGTCTTAAGGGATAAGGTCTTCTTCACCTTCGTTTCGAAAGAGAGTCGCGTCTTTACGCGCGCATTAGTTTCACGTTCTGCTTACGGCCCACCGGGGGCCCCATTAAAATGCCTCGAATTGTTTACCACCCGGCCCCGGCGCATGTACCCGTACCGCCTCGTAATATCTGTTGTAAGCTAACTACCCCTGCATAAGGTTCGCGTGAAAGTACTTGTAAAATTAGGAACTCTTTGCAATATCTCGTAATACAGCAAATACGACTTCTGCATTCCGATCCGAAGCGATTTTTGTGGCAGCCCCGTTAATAAAGACTGCCTAAATTATTCTATCGGCGAATGCGACATTATGAAAAATTGGCGGTAATTTTGCGCGACGCGGCATCCTCCATTAACGCGGTCAACGTCGCACTCGTGCGATATGCGAATTCCCTTTGCACGCTACTTAAATCCGCGAGTGAATTCTATCAATTCTCACTCGCGTACGGACCGCATAATGGTCGGAAGAGCTTATCGGTTATTAATGAAGTGAATAATGTCGCGTATCGTCACGGACGGAGGAAGGGGCCGTTTAATGGATCGTTAGTTCCAGGCGACATAAACGAAATTCAGCGTGTCTGCTCTTCGGCGTTTCAGCGATTCCCCGATTGTGGTATCGATCATAACGACTGAATTCGCGAACGAGAGAGAAACTTTCGTTAAAATTTTGTCAGAAGAAATGACGATCATGTGCATTGTACAGAAATATAAATAAGTTGAAATGTTTACGATGCAAAACCGAGAGAATATTTAGTTAAGATAACAATATTTTATCTTTACTCGCATTTATTTCCACGTCCTGATTTTCCAGACTGAGCCCGCTCTGAAAATCCGAGCCGAAACCGTCATCGCGCGCCTCCTTTCCCGCCTCGTCTTTTCCGCTCGGGCTGATCGCGTATACACGCATGGTGGCTCGCTTTTGCTCAGGTTAACGCAAATGCGACGGGAACAAACAAACGGGGAATACAAATCTAGAGTGAAATGAACAATGCCCGGGAGAGTTACTGCCTCCTAATTGAAACCAAACCCCGCGTACCGCTCCGCTCCCTGCATTTCCTCTTTCCTCTTTCCTCTTTCCGCCTTCCTCGCTCTCCATCCTTTCCAGCCTCTTCCCGTATCACCCTTCCTCCCTGTCCCACCGATTCTTCCTCATCCCTTTCTACCTCCGCACCGCTTAATCGTCCCGCACAGATGCGTGCCGCGTTTTCTCTCTATCCGCGTATAAAGCGTATAGTTTATGACAAAAGTTCGGCCTCGAGTTTAACAAAACGCCCATTGGCCCATTGCAGTACACGAGCCGATGCGTTTACATGCGTCGAATAAACGAGTATTGATCACTCGTCGCTCGAGATCATTCGACGTTTGTCTGGTACATACCTGTGTCGTCGTTAAAAGAACACCGTGACGCGTCTACATTGAACTAATGGGCATTCTAATTGCCCGCCTGGGAAGAGCTTCATGGTTACGCGATTCGTATTATGCTACATCGACAGTTTCGCGGTGCATCATTGATGCGTAATGACGCGGTAATTGTGACTTGATAACAATTAATGAGTTGTAAACATTTAATTTACAATTAAATAACATATAATACATTCGCGGTATATTAATAATTATTATCAACAGCTCGGGAGCAGCAGTAAATATTGATATCAATGATTATTTTCTTACTGTAATATTATCAATTCATTCAATTTATCCAACAATGCAATAAAATTTTCATATATTTTAACATTGTTCGAAGACTTCTCCAACATTCTTAAAGTTATATACGTCTTTCTCAAATAGATATAATTTACGTTTCCTTGAATGGGGGCGATTAGCCCAAATTCGTCTGTGTGAATACTAATAAGGTGCTATGTATGACGACCGTATAAATCGACTTATTCACCTAGATACGACATTCCTTATTTACCCGTTCGTTCACGCGCGAAACGTACGTGCGAAAATTAACGCACGCAGCCTATTCCACGCGTTTATGGGAGTCAGTCTCCATAGATTCCGAATATTTCCTGCGAGGGCTGCGAGCCTCGTAACGAAATTTCCTCTATGCAAGAAGTTTTCGTTCATACGCCGAAAATAAACTCGCCTAGGTCTAACAAGAGAGATGCCGCACGCGCGCGCGTGTATTATATTTCACAGGTGCGTTTTAATCTTCAACATTCTCGAACTTAGGTTTACTTTTGTACACAGTAATTTAGAGATTTCTTGTATAGTGAAAGTCGACTTGCTTTGGATATAAGTTATTCGAAAGAAATCCTTCTGATATTCACGGATGGCTGATTTACCGTTTCAATGATTAATTAAATGCCCGTGAGTATCGTCGAACATATAATGACCGGTTTTAACAAACGTCACTCTCTTTGTCGGGTAAAAGATAAAAAAAAATTGATGGAAATGTTAGCCGCGGGAAGATATGTGCATTTATTGAAATCGATAATCGATGCGAAACAATCGGTGCTCGATCGAAATTTGTTATGCGAGACGTCAACGGGGAACGGGCGCAATTCAATCGGCACAGCGTGACATAGATCGTTTTCGCGAACGTTATCGTCGATGACGCGCGCATGAGTGTGCGTGCGAAAACGAGTTGCTAATCCAGCGCTCGTGGCCGCAGAATACCAGGTAAATTTCGGGAAAAAAGAGCCGCAATCGTAACCGATAAGTGACGTGTCAATCTCTGCTCGTATTGTATTTTCTCGTTCATGAAATCTCCGCTAAAATCACGAATGCTCGAACTGCAAATTTAGCGCTATGTATAAAAAAATGTTTCAGTAAAAAAACATTAAAGATAAAGAAATATAAGTATAATATTTACTTATATCTTCGAAAAGCATATATGTATAGATAGACGATGACAAGACCAAAAGTAATCGAATCAAAGTTTTCGGATAAATAAATTGATTTAAAATCAATTTATTTATCTGCTTGGCATTTGATTATACAAGTATATTATTGTTTTTACGTTTATACATATGTCTACAGTTTTATTCTTTATTTAAACTTCCTTTCTTTCGCTCTTCCATCATCCCCGAGAGAAAATCGAAGATCATCGAGACTAATTCCGAAAGAGTATCGCTCCCCTCCGTGGAAAATCGCGCGAGGATCACGCTCGAGGAAATCGAGACGTCTTCGTCGCGATGTCTTCGCAAACACGCAGCCGACGGGAGACGTCGTGGCGAACGAACGAACAAACGGGAACAAGCCCGTCATCACAGGAAGAGGCCGAGTCGAGATTACCAGCGCGCTTCGTTTTCCCTCCTCTTTCGTTCTCCTTTTCCGCGCCCGCCACCCTCCGCATTCAAACGTGAAGTTATCAGGGCTAATTTTCCGCCTTTGTCGCGCCCCTCGGTGGCCACCAGCCGGTTCATTATTCGCATCTAGCGACCACTGTTTTTAATAACCTAATGGCTCTTACGCGGTACATTATATCGCCACTCTTCTCTCCCTTCTCCCCCCCTTTCTCCTTTCCCTCCTCCGGTGCCATCCTTCGCTGCTTTTTCGTTAGCCCGCTCCTTTATTCGCGATCCTTGACGAAACGACGAAATATCCAACTCTCCTACCGTTCGTTCGCTCATGGAGCTTATGACGATATTCTCGTACGGTGACTTTTTCTCGGACTCGCTTTCCACCGGGAGAGATTACGGCGAGCGCGAGCAACCCTTCTGGAAATCTTTCCCTGGCTTCCCCCTTCACGTTCGCGCGATCACTGGTGAACGGAACGATCGCTTAAGCCTTTATTCCTAGTGCTTTTGTTGAATGGCGATCCTCCGCGGTTTTTGTTTCAGCGAATAATCGAGAGAGAAATGAGCCTGCGAACGTCGAAGATATTAGGTAGGAATAAAGAATAAAGACACTCGAGTTATTGTCAACCGCCGCGGCTGTGGTCTCGCTCCGTGAGAGTGATTGATCATTGTGCTGAGATGCGCGAATTGTCGATAAGAAGAAATTAGGGATCCCGCAGACAATTCTCCTCGAGTCAGATCACATTTATCATTTCCTTGATAAATATTGGGGCATAAGCGATGATATTAATCGCGGTACGTTTTCCCGCTGAATTTTCCGGCTGCAAGAAGGTTTCGTTTTCCACGCTCCGCGAAGGAGTCGAACGAGATGCAGAGCCCTCGCGGCGAGTAACACGGCTGATTACGATTCAGAATGCGAGGGCGATGATATTTCACTTCTTTTTCGAGGCTTTACGATCAGACGTTTTTAATTTCCCGCCGCGTGCTCCGGCGAGAGGCCCAGGCCGAATGCAAATTGTGACAGGAAAGTTATGCGCGACCGTGAAATTAATGTCTTCCCGAGATCGGGACTTAATAGCCCGTTATGTACTTCGCGTGCCACATACATATACGCGCGTGTAATTCCGCGGGCGGATTTATGAAGTGACGAAGTCTCTTGCGCTTGCTTGCTAAATTGAATTCGACTTGCCCCATTTCTTTGGCTCGTATAAATCATCAGGAAATCGATCGCCGATATTCTCGTTTAAGTTTCCAATGCATACTATTTTTTAAATTTTACATCTACTGCATCGTATAATTAAATAGAATATTTTAATGAGTCTTAATAATATAGAGTGTATCATGGATGATACATTTGTTGCCGAAAATAATCTTGAGATATCACATATATTAGCTTATAATACTTTACAATTCTTTACAGCATGAAACAAATGGCCAGATCGTCCGCTCTTTCACTATTTTGCCTTCGAGTATGCCTCCTGATCTATATCATACTTGCCATTGCTACACCCAGCTTGGGGGAAGTTAACAAATATGATCGGAACAAAGCAACGTACATGAAGGACAGATCTGATTCAATTAAGAACTCGGAAAAATCGGTCATTTCCCCACATCAATGTGAAGATAATAAGGTAAACTAAAATATATTTACGTAATCAAAATTACTTTGATATTGGATTAATCAATCTAAAATCACTTCTTTTTTTACTCGATAAGACACGCATTTTTTTCGGAAACTCTACTGCTAGATTTCACAAAGATTTCAAGAATATCGTCGTGTTTGATAAGAGAAACGTACGATATCTGATCTGGCCGAGAGCGATGCGCGACGATAGATTCTTGTTCTCAAGCGCGTTTTAATATCTCAAGCGTTAAATTTCTTTTTGGCGAGGGACACTCAGAGCGACGCAACGTGCCACAGAGCATCTCTCCCGCCAGCTCTCAGTCTTTATGCCGAATGACAAAATGACAAAGGGTTGGTCGCCCTGGGCTAGCGATATTACCGTTTCCGTTTCGGAACTATGCGAACTGTCGTCTATCGTTCCTCTCTTCGGTCGCGTATTGCGGCCGAAAATGTCTCGTGATTGATTATACCCGCCGCACTTTCGGTACTCGACTCCCGCAATGGCCGATTGATGGAGAATCTACGAAAACGATCGTCGTACTCGCAAACGGAATCAGAATGTCTCAAAATATTGTTAATGCGTTCCTTAAAAATAGAGAACGATTAAAATAATTTAAATTATATATGACAAAATAGTAAAATACAATTTTTCCCGTATTATAGTGTTTTTATTAAAAAAAACTATTTAACTATTTAACTATATAATATATCGTTTAATATACACGTTTGCAATCTATAGTTATACGATCTAATAAAATTAAACGTCTTTCAATCAAGATATTTCATTATCGCAGGCAGTTTAATAAAAAGAATTCTAGCCTCTGTACACACAGAGCTACGTTAGGGTGGAAAGACAAGCCGAGGGTGAGGCGGGTCTTTATTTAGTTAAATGCCGCGTGTAATTGAGTGTAAAATCTTTTTTTTTGTTCGGCAAACCGACCACGATGTGTCCTGCCGTGAAACCGCCGCGTCGCAAGGCTCAAGTTTTCCACCCCTTTTCCACAGCGCGCTGCCAGTGGTGTGGCTGCCAGCCACCTGATGGCACAAGGGCCCACCGGGAATGAGATGCAGATTGCCAGAGGCCACTTCAGCCACGCTGTGGGAGAAGGGAGGGGAGGGGGGGAGTGAATTTTTAATAATACGCGTCCCGTGCCCGCGGCTGCCGGATGTAGAATCCCATTGTTTTGGCCGCGCGAGCGCGTCGGAAAAAGGACGAAGCGAAATAGTATGTACGCGATGCGTTACGGGACACCCACTCGGCATTATTATAACGCGCTAACGTGTCGGTGGGGGAAGGGGGTGGTAGGAAGGGATTGTCAGCGACAGAATATTCTGCCGTCTTCGCGGCAGGAATGCCGCTGCAGGACGTTCCAAGCCTGCCGTATACATTCAACAGTACGAGTCATTTGTGTAATATTAATTTTTTTCTCTTTCTTTCTCTTTCATCTACTCTTATTTTACAAATTCCACAAACTATTTCTAATGCTCCGTTAAAAATAACAGAAAATTGATACATGCTTGTTAAACTATATAATATTGTGTTTTACAGGTTGATGGCAATCGAAATTATTCCGCGAATAAATCTGTGGTGATCGACGATGAGAAAAATAGCGTGGCTTTAAATAGATTTCTGGAAGATGTTCTAAATGCGCAGAACGATTTGAAGTCGATAGATCACGCCACGCATCATATTAATCATAGAACTCGTCTAGATGAGTAAGACCCTTATGTTATCTGTTGCTTTGACAAGGAAGAAAAAAAGAAATAAAAAACGCAATAAATTCAATATGAATTGTTAGTAAGCTTAACTCAATTTCCATAAATTTTAATTGCTACAAGTGTCTCCTTCAATTGGAAAAAGTTACCAGCAACCTCGATATTTGCATTCTACAATTTAGAAACGCGCCAATTTTTATTGACTGATTTAATAAGAATATTTCCGTTACAGTCCGCTGGCGCGTAATACAAACCAGTATTCTACGGTATCCGTCAACACGGGGGATGTCCTAGAACGGGCTGATATCGGTTATGGAAGTAGGTTACGCGGCAAGAGGGGCTTCGATCGGAATTATGAAACGATGTGGATGGTGCAGAAGAAGAAATACGGGCGGAAGAGTGCTCGTGATGTTCCTCAGAGAGTCTATCTGGATAATGACATGACATTTAAGAAAGACGCTGATAATGCTGACTTCGACGCTCCTTATCAATCCCGTGGCACGTAAGCGATGGAACAATGTTCATTCAAAACTGCAATTTATTTCGTTTAAAGTGTAATCTAAAAGAATTTATTATATCTATAAACATCTACAAATTAACAAAATATTTTTAGTGACGGAATAATCATACCTTTATCTTTCTAAAACGATATTTCTTTCATTATTATAAACAAATTTAAATAAATAAATAATAAATAAAAATAAATTTATATGTAATTTATAAGATTATTTGATTTATATATGAAGCGTCTAAATTTTTCATAGCTGTACCTAAATCTTCTAAAAGCTATCGCATATTTCTTATAGCAGATAGATAGAAATTCATTCCACTCTTGAGCGTAGGTTAGATAGAGCTGTCTACGACGGAGGAACGATGGCCGATCAGCCATTGAAAGATTGGACTGGAAAGAAGAAGCTCCATTCCTCGGGCGACTGGTCGAATTCTAATGAGACTCCCAAAGTGACTAACGGCGAGAATATATGGCATCGTGATTACGAATCTGCTCGTGAAATTCGCGTTAATTCCGGTATTATCGAAATAATTAAAATGTTGAAATGTTGACCTAATTCTAAATGGCGTATTAAACATGATCTCTCAGACTCGAGCAAGGACGAAAAGTTACACGTCGATACTGACGCGCGGGATCAATTAGAAGTATCGTTGCACGATCCAATATATGCAAATGCCTTCACCGCTTTCCGGGGATCTTCGGTTGCAATCAGAAATGGCAAAACTCGAAACGCAGCGTCATCACTGGAGTCTTTGAAGAAAACTGTGCTAGAATTAAGAAATAGTTTGATGTTAGGCCATAAGAGGAGAAATATAATATCGAGAAGTAAAAATTACTATTAACACTAATTACTACTGTCATTGCTATGGTTAATTTTTTCAGGAGAATCTAACTGGTGGAATGAGCCAAGATCGACAGTTGAAATGTATGATTTTGGAGATCTTGATAATCATTCAAATGAAGAAACAATACGGAGGCTAAAGCGAGCAAAAAATATAAATAACGAAGATGAAAGTGATTCAAGAATTTTTCAAGGAATAGAGTTTGGGGAACCATATTTTGGTAAACAAAATTCGAAAGAATTACACGATCGTAGTAAACGTAGTAAGAGTTTCGTCGCAGATACAAATTACACAAATAACCAAAGAGATATTCTTGAAAATAACAAGAAAGCTCAAATGATTAAAGACGTTTTCGAAAATGTAACTACGACACAAAATACTGAAGAAGTCGTCACGAAATTGTATTCTAATTATCTCAATGATGGAAAAAATTCGATAAACGCTTCTAACAAAATAAACATTTCCGATTCGCAGTATTCTTTAGATAGAGGATCTTTTTTAAATAATTATTTGAATAATTTAACAATTATCCCATCAATAGCTAATAAAACAAATATTTCTGAACTAAGATATCCTTCAAATATAGAGCTGTATTTAAATGAACATTTCATCGACGACAAATCATTATTTGTCATTAAAACGGACCTTCAAACACATTCACCAGAACGCATTACCAAAAGTGGAGATCCAATAAACTCGAAAGAAATTAGTCAACGATCCACAATTGAGATGATATTAAAAAGTATCAATCATATAGCGGAGAATCGTACTAACTCGCCTGATTTCGAAAAGAATGCATTCACTATACCAAACGCATTCCTCGATTCAATACGTTTTTCAATAAACGACGGTGATTCTGAAAAATTCCTGAAAAATCGAAGCGGCGAAGAAAAATTAGGAGCTGCGGCTCAGAAAATATCGCGACTCGGCATGAATGACGGACAATCGAAGGGCGCGGAAAAGGAGTTTCCCCGGGGAAATACATCGCGTAGCTTCGGCATCGCGACAAATGAATTGTGGAGCTGCGTCGAAACAACCGTAGCCGCGAGAGAAAAAGAGATCGAAGTAGACGGAACGCGAAAGCAAAACCGCGAACCGATACCCGGTGTGATCAAGGTCTTTGAGCCTCGAGGGCGTCCGTATCAAAAGCAGGAGGCAGAGACGACGGCGAGATTGTCTCGGCGAATGGAAAAAGACGAAATGTCCGTGGCGAGGATGAAGACAAACAAAGATGAAGTCGACAAGTCAAGAAATACAAATGCAAGGGAAGCCTCTTCGACTTCGCTGATTGATTCTGTCACCGATGCGATAATGAAGCCGGAAGCCGCATATATAAACACGTCTGAGTCTGGCGAATCGATAACACTGAAGGATCTCACTTCGGTAACTGTAGACAACGATTTGCGAAAGCAGCAACAGATGGTTCCGCCTCTAAATGCGGAGAATAGAAACGCAAATAAATCGAATGGAAATTTGGATACCGATAGAATCGATATTCGAATTCTCGGGTCAAACGGAAATGAGACTATGAATGTGAAGGAAGGTATTCGGACTATAATGGAAGCTCAAGAGTATCACAAATCCGATAATAATTTACACAGGAAATTATTATGGATTTCCACGATTTCAATCGACGGTGAAACTGAAGATTCATCGGTAAAGAGCACGAGATCAGTTTTTAATACCACGATTGAGAGTGATATTGAAAATGTCACGAATGAGAATCGACAGCAAAGTGAAATAACCGGTTCTGCAAATTTAAGAAAAGTATTGACTAGAGTCAACCGCGAAGATAAAATTGAAGAAAGTGGTATATCGCAAGACGCTTTAAATTCTCAGATATCCGAAACAAATCATTACGCTCGTTACAAACGATCTGTATATCCTTATGAAAATGTTGAATCCAATAATGAAGCAGAGCCTGAAAATATAGCAGTCGAGAAAGAAGCGGAGATGAATCACGATGAGAACCAAGAAACTAATGAAGACTATCTAAATCAGGATGTCGAAGAACTTAAGGGGAGCTATAATGACAGAGAAGCAGATTTATTCGAAGGTATAACGCTCATTTGATGATTTGCCATTCATAACAAAAAAAAATACACGAAAATAACGATTATACGTTTACAGATGATGATAAAGCAATGGAAAGCAAGAGAGAGGGACAATCTTCATCTAGACAACAAATCGATCCTATAAGAGCTAAAGTTAACATGTTGATTAAGCGAAAGCTTGACAAGAAACACAGGGACAGTAGCATTTCCAGGAAAAAGAGACATAGTATGTTGGACATGGTCGAATATTATGATTATGATGATGATGATGAAGAGCACGATGGGCCACTAAATGAACAGGAGACTCAAAATAAAGACAACAAATTTTCATTTAACGCCAAGATAAAAAAGCGCGGTAAGAACGTAAGCGAAATAAAATTTACATTAAAAACATGTAGTCAAAAACGTAGTAAATATGTGAAACTAATTGGGCATCGATATTTCAATTGATCGCAGATGGCAAATCACCAAGTAAGCCAGGCGATTTAGGGAAGAAGAAGAACGAAAACGCTGAGGCGATGATAAAAGAAGGACGCAAAAAGTCACGAGCAAAGAACAAGGAGCCAAAAGAAGAAATCGTCATCGATCTTGGCAAACGTAAAAATAAGACGAACGATCGAAACGATAAGAAGTCATTCAGTTCGTTAGGATCTAGCTTCGAAAATGTGTTCAATGAGAAAAAACAATTGTCGACTAAGGAAAACTCGGATAAAATTCGCCAGAGCAAAGATTTTGATAATAATGTTTATCAAGAAGAATCAGCTGCTGTGAAATCGAAATGGTAAATCGGATTATTTTGCAAGCGATCAGTAGTCATATATTTTATTCTATTGTAAACATAAATTTATGCATGTAAGTACATGCAATTTGATAATATTGATGCAAACGACCAAAAAATAGATGTCTGATAGGTTGGACCAACCGTTTGAGGACAGAACGGCATTGTCGAAGAAGAATTCAGAGTCATTATTAAAAGACAGCTGTAAGACGAAAACTAATTTGAATGAACCTTTGGAGTACGTGGACTATGTAGATGTAAATCCCGATGTTATCAAAAATAATTTGTTGGATATTCAACCTATCAAGAGTATGGAACAAAGCAGAGAATTGGGAGCCTCGAAAGATTTCTATGAAGATTTTGGAGACGACCGGTACAAATGTTTCAAATTATGTGACATATTGTAATATAATATATAGTGTACATATTCAAAATTTAAATAAGCTATAAAGTGTTATAATTTATAAATTATAATGTTATAAATTATAATCTAATTAGTTAATTTAATGTTAACTTGCAAAAATAGCTTATTTGACATCTCTTATAATTCTATGTATAATTGTTACAGTTTTATATTTTTTAAGTAAAATTCAATTACTAAAAATATCGATAAAGAATCTCATAAATAAATTCTATCAAAATTATTTGTAAATGCTATATATATATACATATATACATATATGTATATACGTATTTGTGATTCACGAAATTGTTGAGATCTAATAATTTATTTTGCAGACGAGAAGATCGTTATTATTATCAAGAAAATGATTCAAACAATGTCGAGTCTCTGTATGAAGAGTTGAAGAATGTGTACGATTGGCCTGATGGTGAATTAAAGAGCGGACCCCGACTCAAAGGCGATCAAAGACTACACTACGAATCAGATGACACGCTTGATACAAATCCCTCTCAATTACAGCCATTGAACGATAGATTCCTCGGCTTGGGTCAAAACGACAACGCACAAAGGAGATTCCAATCGATTGATGCATCTTGGATGAGTAAATATTGAATGCAATCATCAAGAATAAAGAAACTCTTACTTATTTTCACTTTAATCGAATCTATCCATATAATTTTCAAACATTTTATATTGATCCTGATCTTAATCGCAAATTTATTCCTATTTTCTTTCTTTTCTTTCTCATGCTTCTGTAGTTTTACAGCCGTTATTTTGATAAAGCTTATGTAATGGCAATAATTTTACGTTTGATTGACAGTTGCAAACTCAAATAGTACTCTGGCGAACAATTATTTCACGCTTAAAGTCACGGATGATATGTTTAAAGGCAGCTTCGAGCAGAGTTCGACGGAGAGAAATTCACCGAATATATTTTCCGTCGGAACAACAACCGAGCCGAGAATGTATACAGTACGCGTATGATTACTATTTATCGCGATATTTATTTATTTATTTTTTTTTAGAATACAATCGCAACAATATAAAGTAATTAATCGGTATAGATTTCAGAAGATAAAAATGTCCCGTTTCCCGAGGGACGTTCAATAATCAATACAGATTCCGGTTCTCCATATGAAAATAGCAAGTATATCGAGCCCAAGATACATGAACTACTGAAACAAAATCTAAATTTGGCGAAACAGGCGGCGATTAATTCGCAAGACTTGCAGGAGTCTTTCGTGGAATCTTTAGATTGGCATGACGATTTCGATGATAATGTGAAAGTCAGATTGGGCAGAGGATTAAAGGCTATAAATGAAACAATTATTTCTGGTTTCAATAAAACTTACGATCAAGACAATAAATTAGACGTAACAAATGCAACTGATGTAAATTTTAAGCCTACTCGAGTTTCTACGCAAACTTTACACGATAATTCATCGATGTCAAAAAATTGGTACAATAATACATTGATGGACTTATACAATATTTTTAACAATCATCGTGGTGTGTCTGATCAAAGCGCTAAAAATGTTCAAGAATCGATTTTAATGAATACGGTTAATATGGATGTAAACGACGATCTCGAAGCTGCCGAGCAAAAATACGTCAATAATCAAACACCGAGAATCAGAAGGGCAGCGTCATATCGCGCGTTTTACGACGATCTGAATCAGAATCAACGCGATTCCGATGAAATGGACGGAAGTCTAAGTAACCAGTTTCATTCTCCGAATATCCTCAAAAATCGGTTCGATGGAGTGTATCACGGATATGAGATTGGAAATTGGAACAGTGACACACAGGATCTTGATCAATACTCGAAAATCCCGCGAACCAGTACGAGGAAGAAGGGGAGACCCGGAAAGAGCAGTAAGAAAAATAAGCACTCTTCGGAGAAGCACGCAAAGAAAAGCAGCTCACATTCTTCAAGTAGAAACAGAAGACATCATGCTCACCGATCTGATATGTCGAAGAACGTTAACCGAAGTGATTTAAAGCCGAAGCAGAGGAACAAAGTTGAAGCATCTCCTTTGATTGGACGCACCAGAATTCAGAAGAGTAAAACGGCCAAGCAAGAATTGTCTCGTGCAGGGATGAACGACGCATCGGGCAAAAAAGTGCTTTACGAGAACGCGGAGGATCAGAGTGTGAGTGAAAGGGCGATCGCTGATCGCATCATATAGGTCGCGCGACTGGATTAAAAAGAGAAAAGAATTAAGGTTGATTTTTCAGACAGTGAAGCCAGAGGAGGACGATGCACGGAGAAAGGAAATTACACTGCTCCTCGCAGCCGACAACATCGACGACGAGTCGCAGATGGACGTGGCTCTTCACGGCGAACTGGCTGGAAAAATCGTCGAGCAAATATTCCAACAGGCAAGTAAAGGGCAGCGTAGCGCGATATCAAAGCTATTTTCGACATCTCTTTCATCGAAAATGAAAAATTATTTGACGCACAAGTGTGTACGTTTTTCTGGTATAAGGATGATTGATGATAATTAGTTCCGGTATCGTAGGTCCAAAAAAATGATCAATTGAAGAGTGTCTTTGGTCCTGGGCTTCACCGCGATCACAAAACGGAAAATGTGATAACGGGTAACATTTATCGACAAGGACTCGACGAAGATGGAGTAATCACGATATTATTTAGTTCAAGAGACTTGAGTATCCCGTGTATAAAAGAAATTTTGATAATTTTTAATGGTTTTATTTTTTTCATTGATATGATTTAGACGAATCACACGGAAACGATGATAAAAAGAGTTATGGGGCTCCTCGGTACGCTAATTGCAAACGAAGTGCAAAAGAAAACTTGCATTTCTTTATCACCGGATATGCGAGAATTTTTAGGATGGATGCTGGAGGTGGATCGAGATGAGGAATCGTTGGGAGAAGTATATTATAATCTTCGATTACATATTAATTATATGCACGTATCACGCTTTTCAATTAATTGATAAATATTAATTTTTAATTCAGGCGCCACCGCTGCCATTGGTCCGTGAGAAAATTATTCCAGAGCAAGACACTGGACGCAAATTCCTGTTTGACAGCATTTCCGAGCAAGAAGGAGAAGAAAATATTAATGATTTACAGAAAAAAGTGAGAATATTGGAAACTCTTGTAAAGGAATATAACGCTTTGACTGCAAAAGAAAAAACCAGGGTTCAAACAGTCCACGATTATTTGGTAAGACTTTATTTATAAGCTAATATCGTTATTTGTTAATTAATATTCAATTAAAAATGTGATAAAATTTATGTAAGATAAGAAATATTTCATAAATATTAGAAAAATTACTAAAAATTATGATAGAAAACATTTTTATGATTATTCAGATTCAGCAGTTAAACCTACTTTTGCGATATATCGAAGCGCGAGAAACTGCAGAAACAAAAAGGAAGCCTGCCTCGGCAGCAGCTAGAGCTGGAACCGGAAATATCTTACAGTATCAAAACGCGCTGCCTAATGCCACTAATGCAAGCCATTCGATGACAAAAGATGCATTTTCTTCTCCAATCGATACGCATAATCTTCTGCAATTCGACAATGTCTCATTTGAAACAGATAAACGACTCCAAAATAGTACGTAATATTTCTGGTGGTTACACGCATTTATTTTTCTTACACTTAAAACAATTTTTTTGTTAATTTTTTTCAAAAAATATAAAATATAAATTTTTTCTTGTTCCTAATTTACAGTTAAAGCATATTAAAATTTCGGCAGAAAATGCGGTAAACAAATGTAATTGGCGATGTTCCTTTAACTACCGATATCGGGAAATTGGTTATCGGAAATGTTTTCGGTCTAAATACCACGGCATGATAAACTATTTCTACATCGAGTCGATAAAAAAAAACTATAGCGGTTTCGGCCGAACTTTCAAACTTCGAGTAATTACGTCCGCATAATATCTCGTCTGAAAATTGCACGACAAAATATTAGCTCGGTCATTATTTCGCATATTCTGTGATACGGGCGGTTAATTTGTTTTATGTATCATATTTCTACTTAATATTCTCAGAAAATTATGTAAGTTAGCGTAACAAACTTTTGTTCTGCTATGCTCTAAAATTTTTAGGTCATGCTGCATCCCGTCACAGAGAAACGCGTAGCCTCGATAAAATTCCATCGAAACGACATCGCAAAATGAAACGCCAGAAGTCCCGCAATCAAAAGAAGAACGAAAATTACAGAAAATCGAAACGCAGGCACAATAAGTATCGCAGGTATCTAGATTGCACAGGTTCATCGCCGGGATATAGGAAGTCACGACAAAAACGCGCAAATCCTGAAGAAAGCGATCAGGCTTCGCTTTATTTAGGCTACGAGAAGCCGAGAATTTACGATTCGTTCGATCTCCTTGATGCGAAGTTGAGAGGGACCAAGAAGAAGAAGAGGAAACGAGAATTAGCCGCTAAGAAAAACGCGGCAATCGAGAATGACAGGATGCTCGATTTGTTACCAATAAAAGGGAAGAATCGCATGGAGGACGAAGTGATACTGCTCAACAAGCGCGAAGCTTGGAAAAAGGAGAATGAGAAACAGCTGGAGGAGGTCGCCTTTGGCAGAGACATGAGGAATAACACAAGGAGGGAGAGGGAACGATTCGAGAAATTGACGGAAGGAGATAAACGTAAACCGATCAATGAGACGAGTTCCAGAATGAAGCGAGAAAACATAATTCGCGGGACATCAACTGGCAAGGGTACAGATTATTCCAATAAAACTCATATAACATTCGAAATCCGTGATGGTGAATCGTGGAATAAATCGAAAATAAGTAACAATAACGGCACGAAGAACGAGAATAAACTGGAATTGGTTGAGCGAAGGATCAATGTTTTCGCGGATAACAAAACCAACGCAGCAATTGATTCCGCAGCTGCGGCAGCCAGCACGGAAGAAAAGTTAGCGACAAATGCGGAAGCCAATAACCAGGTTAAGGGAAAACTTCGCGCTATAAATCGTGAGACAAAAATTGACAAGGCGGACGGGAGCGCGAGCTTTGTAAACTTGACGAGCGACGCGGAGCCCCGGGTCTCGAAGGAGCGACAGAAAGTTTCGGTAACGGAAAAAGAAGCAGATGATAACACTGTAAAATTAAATCGAGCGACAAACTATCGACGCGAGGAAATAGATCCTGAAATCGAGCTGAAAAATCTGAGACAGGGACGAGAGAAAAGAATTTATGACGTCGCAAACTGGAAGATGACCGACCACTTTTATGATGATGATAGGTTTTCTAGAAATAAATTAAGGCAAAAATATATGGTTAAGTTAGACGAACTGGGTGACCTAGATGCGGATCCCGAGAATAATTTGGCGCTTCTGAGATTAAGAAATAATAAATGGTCGAATGACGTCGTCGAATGGAAGTTGCTGCCGATAATAAAACGATCGCCGTATTACGACGATCGTGCTTTATCAAGAATTCGTTTAATAGAAAAAGAAACACCTATATTAAGCAACATTAAAGACGTGGAATCTCAACCCAACGCTTATTTAAGTCCAAGATTTTGGCGAAACCATCGTAGAAGAAACCGAGTCTTCAATATCTCGCCCACCCTGAGAATAACTGACAATGATAATTTTCCGCGCAGAATTTATCGAAATGCGAAACGTACATCTGAGATACAGAGGTTTAAGGATTTACGGATAGATCCCGAAATTATTCTTAAAGTTCGAAGGCTATCTCGACCGAGGAACAACAAAAGATCGAACGGCATTGCGAAATTCGGGATGCCTTTCGCATTGAAAGATCCTAATCGTGAATTTCGCGAGATACTTCGATCACGCAATAATCCAGAGCTCGGCGACCGAGTAATCTATGATGGAGTTGGTTTGCAATTGCCGAGTTGGCCGTATCAGTATTACGACGATCTTGCAGACTCATCGACCTTTCATTTCGTCCCGGGTAGAGGCGACGACATGTATCGATACCCCGCGGAAACGTATTTCGAGTATGGCCCCTTTAAAAAGCGCCGCGCTCATGACGCGAACCGACGATTCGCGAGGCGAAATAGATTCCGCTTGAGAACCTCGGAAGGAAAAGATGCCGTCGATTTTCCGAGGAATAATTTAGCAAACAAAAGCTCGAAGTTCAGATTTGCGGAGAGAAAGTCTCGCGTGAACGAGTCGGCTCTCGCGAGTGGTGAGAATTATCTTATGTCCAGTGAGACGTCTACACACAAAAGAACTTGAAGCGAACTAACAAAACAAAAAAAAAAAAACAAAATTGACAGACTGAACGAGATCTTTGATCAATGGGCAATAAAGGAATTTTGTTGCTCGGCGTAGATAATAATAATAATAAAATTATTGGCTGATGTAATGTAATATATGACACGTATGGAAAATAGATGAGGAAAATTGAGAAATGCCGCGAATTGGTGTAATATGTAAGAAAGGCTGTCGCATTATACCGCGTTGCATTTTCAGGTCAAATCGCGACGCGATAATTGTCAACGGGCGTCTAAATAATTTCATCAGATAAATCGGATAAATCATCGATGCGCGATTATCATAATTGACACATTCGCCCTATCTGTGCGCCAGACAAGCTTGTGAAACCTCGTAAATCGTCCTAGCTCGTCGGGATGAACCTAGTGTCGTCGCGTGTTTGCGCACACGTACCACTGTCCGCGCTAATCCAGCTGCATGAGCACCATCGCTGCAGTGCAGTTAATGGCGTTGCCTTCCAATAATTAGATTGGCAGATTGCGTCAAAAGTTAAGAGACTTTGATACGTAAATGTTATATCTTAATCCAGTATTAAATTACAGCCACCCAGTATTATATGCAATATAAATACGTCGAACACTTTAAAAAATAAGCATCTATCTTGGGTGCTGCTTGACAGCATTGTACATTTCTACCTAGCTAGATATTATGTAATATTTAACTTATTTACATTTAGAATTTACTTTACAAAATCAATTAAGATGTCATAATAAAATAAGATAATATCATAATTTTTCATAATGCTTATAACGGTATATACATATATATTCATAACGCAATTTTAATCCAAAGAAATAAAAAATGAAAATGAAATAGTACCAGGTGTATATGTTGTCTCAAAGATTTTCATAAAATGCAAACGTTTCATATGTATCCGCGCGATAAAAGCCAAATCTTTCAAACCTGCGGCCGCCACGCCGACTCAATCTCGCCGACTTACTCTCCCATCTAACCGGAAAAAGAGTGTATGCAGCGTGTTCCCTTCTGCCCCGACCCGGCTCGGCTCAAAATATCTCGAAAGTTTCCTCGTAAAGTAAGGCCACGCGGCGGAATTCCCTCCGGCCAATTAAAGTCTCGAAATCGGACGTGCTCGCTTATGCAGGCGAAACAGACAAGGCAGGGATGAGAGAAAAAGAGAGCGAGAAACAGACTGAGAAAGAGAGGAGAGAGAGAGAGAGAGAAAGAGAGAGAAATAAAAAGAGAGAGAAAGACAGAGGAAGGATGGGACACAGCCGTGTAGTCGGTGGATGTTATTACTTATTCGACTCTGGGATTTTAAGGGCGGGCTGGATTTATTTAGATATTCCGGCAGGAGCATCTGCTCGTGGTTCGATGTCTCCTCTCCCGTGCTTACACTCGCCTGTTTCGCTCTTCTTCGGCGTGCATTAATATACACACCGGAGGGCCGGTAAGGGGTACTGATATTTTTACATAACATTAGGCTGTCCGTGTGGCCGAAAACTTAATACCGCGGTTTGGGTCACTAATGGGGGTTAAAACGCGAAATGCGGAACATCGCAAAGTTAAATTTTGTACATGTGATTTCGTCTATTTATAAAGATCATAAAGCTTCATAGATATCATGCAGCGCATCATTGTCTTTACTTCTACCATTGGAAATCAGTGTCATTATTGCGAACGGTTACTACTCATGCATTATAATCTGTTTCTTTAGCTACACTAGTTTCCTTCAATTTTATATATAAATTAATATATATATATATATATATACACGAATATTATTACTAGAGAAATATAATTTTGATATCTCTGTAGAATTGTAGATTTTTTATATAATATTAAATTATACTGCATTTTTATTATTATAAGAAGAAAGATCGTAAAAAAGTATAAGTTACATAATTTTATCTCGAACCTAAGAATATATAATATTAATTTCATAATATTTGATTATATAATGTAATGGAATAAATAATACATAAATTTCAATATACTGCAGAAAAGATGTAGCTAAAGAAAACGGATTAAATGCCAAATTAACTTAAATTCAACACTCATCAATTCGCGATGTCCCTCGTCGTCCATCGATGTATCTTCCGCTGCAATTACATCTGCAACAGCATCCGGAAGTGGTTTGGGAGCATCCCTACGTTGTCCCACGTTGCTTGCACTTCACTTTACTTCGCGTAATACACTCGCGTTACGAAATTCAACACGGGATTACAATTTTAATGAACTTAATAATTCAATACTTCACGAATTTGATAATTAGCAAGTATTTATCGATAAAATTGAAATTGTAAATTATAGTACAAAAAGTTAGGGAGTTCTATACGTCCAATGTACTTTACGAACAATGCGCATTTGCGCGACACGAAATTCGCGATCTAATTTGAGAATTTATTAAAGACATTTATGACAGCATAAAATTAGCAAATCTCTTTGATGGCAATCTATGAAATATTTATAAACTAAATTTAAAGCGTATGTAAACTGCAGAATGAGACGGTTTACGAATTCTCTTTTCTTTTACATTCGTTGTGTTTCACAACATCCTTCTTTACGAAGATCATATCGATTGCTTTGCAATATTTCTGCAAAGATCGTTTCACCTCACGATATTCTTGCGAGGCTCAATTTCTCAATTTCTTTGTGAATATTATTTGACGAAAACCGTAGTGTTAAAATGTTTATAAAAAAATCAGAATCGAAGAATCGTAATGAAAAATAACAAATTTTTTAATGTTTTCCGCGATATTTTTATAATTCAAATTTAATTGCAAATTTAATTGACAAAAATCTATATATTAATTAACAAATTTGATTGCAAATATGTGAATAAAGACGTAGTAATGGCGTAATCTATTTACGCAAACCAAAAATTAATCTCGCAATATTTTTTGCGAATTTTCATAAATTTTCTGTTTTTCTATATGATTTCTATACCTATTTCTTTCTCATTCGATGCTTCTCATGCAAAAGTACATATGTATCTACAATCTACATGCAAAAATCTACACGCGACATGCATGACACTGATTTCAGAAATAGCAATTTCGGCGGAAGAAACCATCACCTGTATTTTAAATTCTACTCACCGATACAGGATCGGCCACGTCTCGCATCCGAATCTATAATGAAAATATAATATCGCCAATTAGATTCAAATTAAACAAATAAATATTAATTTTCTTTTATAATACTTGAAATATAATTTTTTGATATATCCGCAAAAGTTTTTGTAAAACGTTGCAAATTAGTTAATTATAAATCGAATAGATGTATTTCAAAATTAAAAAATTACAAAAGATATTATTTTTGTGAAATATATCAATTATTTATTAAAAGAAATAAATATTAATGAATTAAGCAGAAAGCATATGTGTATACACTCTAGACTTTATATATATTTAATATATTTAGTATATTAAATATATTTATTTAATTATTCAGAGTATTTCCATAAAAGATGTATATTTTAAAATTATTAAATTTCAAGCGTGAGATAAGATAAAGGTGAAATCTACCTTCAAGCCGATCCTGCTTAGCTCGAATCGGATCCTCCGGTACTGCAGCCGCCAGATTCCTATAGGAAGTGCATCTACATCTGTATCTGAAACAACAATAATTGTATCGGTTGAAATTATTAATCTAATAAGATATCGATACAGCATTATAACATAAACTTATTAAATAAATGGAATATTTCTATCTTTGAATTTTTAAATAACAGGAAAATATTTTATCTTAACTCTTGCGATTTGATTAAAGATTTTATTTCTAAACCGTCTCGAATTCATTTTTGTTTTTTAAATAGCAACTACGTTACGAAATGGTGAAAAGTTTAAAACTTAAATTTTCGCAAAAAAGATTTAAAAAAAAAAATAAATTGACTGCAATTATTGTGATGAAAATTTGATATGTTGCCAAATTAACTGCGATTGTAAATAATTAAGTAATAATTAGAAACATAAAATTCTAACGTATTACATTTAGAATGATTAATTAAATAATACACTTATAGATGTGTTATTAATTAGAAATGAAATAGAATGTCAATGTTGCACAAAATTCGTAAAAACTAAATGCCCTTTTTTCGTAAAGAAGATTGAAAAAATCACGGATAAAAAAGCTAAATTGCACTAAAATTATTAATATTAATATCAAGTTATTAACATTAACATTAATCGTAATTGTAATGCATTAATAATAATTCTTTACATTTCGCCGAATATTCAATGCGCTGCTCATTAAATAATCACCGTTTTCCTACCGGAAATATAATGGATTATATCGGTCTAGATATCCGATTTCGAAGTATCTATGATTACATGCGTGCATTGCAAAGCACCGTTGTAACGTGATACCGACGTAATACAATAAAGAATTAAACTCGTTATAAGAATATGCGACTAAAATTCGTCGCTATCAAGACTCGTCTACTTAGTATTATTTTCCTTAACTATATACGAGAATTTAAGATTCTCTCGCTTCCAACCACCTTTATGATCACCTCAACGAACGAGGCTAATCTCTCTCTTTCTTTTTCAAAAGAGGAAGTCTTACCTATGCCTAGAGAAGGAGATATTCCTCGCTTCCGAATAAAAAATCTGAAACCGCGACGCTAGCTCGTCGAGAACGGATGATGTTCTGTACGGGGATTCTCTAACTTCTTATCGACAGTTTCGGTATCGTTGCGCAGGTATTATATATAATAAAAAAGCAGCGCAACGATACCGAAACTGTCGTTAAGGAGTTAGAGAATCCCCGTACTGGTCATTTCCGAAAGGGAGCAATTGCCGCGATGAAATCGCAATGGTGATTGGTGCGTTGAGTAAGGAATCGTTCTACGTAGCGACGCGCAGCTCGGGGCTCGGGGGGGTGTCGAGTGTCGTCGCGGCTACGGGGCTACTGCGTACGTATTATTGTTACTTGTTATGCTCGCGCTCGGCGGTTTAGTGTTTAATGTGCTGTGCTGTGCTTCTCGCTCGCTTGGCGTTCGGCATCTGCGTGACTTTGATCGGGCGCGCGCGGCCCGCGTCCCCTCCTCCCACTCGCTCGAATCGGAATGAGCGCTCAGCGCGCCGAGCGCCGACCGACGGCCGTGCCGTTCAGCGCGCCGAGTCTCACCCCCCCTTCCGCGCGTGACGTAGCGTGACGTAGCGCGGCGCGGCGCG